ATAAAGTAGATACAGAGGGAACACATGTCAACATAATAAAGGTAACTAACATCATACTCAACAGTGAAAAGCTGAAAGCTTTTCCTCTAAGGTCAGGAAGAAGACAAGGATGTCCACTCTCACCACTCTATTAAACACAATATTGGAAGTCCTAGCCAGAGCAATTAGACAAGGAAAAGAAATAAAATGCATCTAAGTCAGAAAGGAAGAAGTAAAACTGCCATTATTTGCAGATGATAGGATATTATGTATTGAGCCCTTAAAGACTCCAACAAAAGAGCCTGTTAGAACAAATAAATCAGTTCAGTAGAGTTGCATGGTACAAAATCAATGTACAAAAATCAGTTGGTTTCTACACACTAAAAACTATCAGAAAGAAATATTAAGAAAATAATCCCATTTACAATTACATCAAAAGAATAAAATACTTAAGAATAAACTTAACCAAGGAGGTGGAAGACCTCTACACTGAAAATCATATGACACTGATAAAAGAAATTAAAGACATAAATAAATGGAAAGATATTCTGTGCTCAGCTTTTGGAAGAATTAGAATTGTTCAAATGTCCATATTACCCAAAGAGATCTACAGATTCAATGCAATCGCTACCAAAATTCCAATGACATTTTTCACAGAAATGAAAAACAAGCCCAAAATTTGTATGGAACCACAACAGCCAAAATACAATACAATAGCCACAATAGCCAAAGCAATCCTGAGAAAAACATAGCTGGAGGCACCACACTTCCAAATTTCGAAATATATTATAAATCTATAGTAATCCAAATAGTATTGGATTGGCATAAATAGAGACACATAGATCAATGTAACAAAACAGCCAAGAAATAAATCCATGCATATATGTTAAATTAACTTATGACAAAAGAGCCAAGAATATACAATGGGGGAAGGACAGTCTCTTCAATAAATGGTGCCTGGAAAACTGGTGAGCCGTATGCAAAAGAATGAAACTAGATCCCTATCTTACACTATACATAAAAATCAACTCAAAATTGATTAAAGACTTGAATGTAAAATCTGAAACTGTAAAACTTCCTAGAAAAAACAGAGTTAAGTAATCTCCTTGAGATTAATCTTGGCAATGATTTCTTACCAACAACAAAGGCAAATAAACCAAAGGCAAAAATAAACAAGTAGGACAGTATCGAACTAAGACTTCTGCACAGCAAAAGAAACCAGCAACAAAATGAAAGGCAAGCTACATAAGGGAAAAAATATTTGCAAATCATAAATATGATAAGGAGTTAATATCCAAAGTAAGAAAAAACTCATACAACTCAATAGCAAAAAGACAAGAAGCCCAATTAAAATATGGGCAAAAGACCTGAGTAGATATTTTTCCAAAGAAGATATGCAAAAGGCCAACAGGTATCTGAAATGATGCTCAGTATCACTAGTCATTAAGGAAATGTGAATTAAAACCACAATGAGGTATCAATTCACATCTGTTAGAATGGCCATCATGAAAAAGATAATGAATGTTGGGTGTGGATGTAGAGAAAAGGGAACCCTTGTGCACTGTTGGTAAGATTGTAAATGGTACAGCCACTGTAGGAAACAGTATGGAGGATGCTCAAAAAATTACTTACTTAACTTTCCTATATATCTTACAGCAGTGTTAACTATAGTCATCATGATGTGCATTACATTACTAGTACTTTTTTATTTTATAAGTGGGAGTTTGTACCTTTTGATCACTTTCCTCCAATTCCCCCTCTCTTTACCCTCTGCCTCTGGTAACAAGTCTGATCTCTCTTTCTGTGAGTTTGTTTTTTTCTTTTTTTGGGTTCCACATATAAGTGAGATCATACAGAAACTGTCTTTGTCTGACTTATTTCACTTAGCATAATGCCTACAAGGTCTATCCCTGTTGTTGCAAATGGCAGGATTTCCTCATTTTTTCTTGCTGAGTAACATTCCATTGTGTGTGTATGTGTGTATGTGTTTGTGTATACACCAGAACTTCTCTGTTTATCCAACAATGGACACTTAGGTTGTTTCTATGTCCTGGCTATTGTAAATAATTCTAACATCAGCATGGGGGTGCAGGTATTTTTTGAGTTAGTGTTTATATTTTCCTTGGATATATTATCAGAAATGGAATTGCACAGGTCCATTTATATGCAAATTATTTTGAATAAATATACTGGAATAATTTTTGGAAATTTGCAACAATATGAAAAACATTTTCTTTAGCTTACTTTATAATACAGACAGTATGTAATATATATAACATACAAAATATGTGCTAGTTGTTTATGTTATCAGTAAGGGTTCTGGTCAACAGCAGACTATTAGTAGTTACATTTTTGAGGGGTCAAAAGTTATACCTGGTTTTTCAAGTGTATGCAGGTCAGTATCCCTAACCACCCCTGCACTGTTCAAGGGCCAACTGTATAAAATACATTTCACGATTTTTCTATTAAGACATTTCATATGTTTACCTTCAGAAGGATATAACTCAATTTTAAAAAGACTAATGGCTAATAAACATTTTTAAAAAGTTCCACTTCACCAGCAATCAAATAAATGCAAATTAAAACAACAATAGGATATCATCTTTCACTTATAGAATTGGCCACTCTTTTAACAGTCAGTTGGTATTGGTGGGAAGCAGACACTCACATATTGCTGACTATATTGGTATGGCTCTTTGGAGGGCAATTTGACAGCATATATTTAAAGCTTTCATAATATATATGTACTGTTTATCCCAGAAATTCTACCTCCTGGATTTTAAGTGAAAGAAATAATCACAGTCTGTATAAAAAGATGTTGTTATAAGGAAATTAACTGCAATACTGTATATAACAGTGAAAAACTGAAAGCACCTTAAAAGTCCAACAATAACTGGATAATCATATAATGACATTCTATTCATTTTAGAAAATGATGCTTTACAAGAATAGTTAGTGACATGCAAAAATGTTCCTTCTAAAGTATTAAGGGAAATACATAGTTACATGTACATTATTATTCTATTTTAATTAAAGAAAAAATAAATCTATGTCTAAGAAAGGCTGGGAAGCTATTCATCACTATTAATGCTTCTAGCAGCTGCTTCCTGAAGGCAAGATTAAGTGACAAACTTTCTTCTACCTACCTTTTTGTGTTTACTAAATGTTCTGTAATGAATATGTATTACTTTCCAAATAATGGCAGTAATTTGGGGAGGGACAGAACTCTTACAGTTTCTTAAAATTAGGAACCTAATAGGTTTCTTAAAAGTGCATAATACAGGTATATTCCGTGGAATCGATTCAATTTTTAAAATACTGGTTCTTTAAGACAATTAGGATAGTTTAAATCTTTCTTAAGAGGAAAACCTCCTTGGTCATTAATTATAACTGGTTCAGACTAGGCTGAATTTGTATTTCCCTTCTCATGTTAGTATCCTTTATAAGATGGTAGGAATTCTCAGTATATAAAGGAAAGGAAACTATACAGACTTGCTTGAATTAGTGCATCAAAGAAAGAGGAAGTTGCATAGAAATTTAGAAAAAAAGTGGTTAAGCTATTGGGGACACAGAGTAAGATCATTAAATTTGTCCTGAGGGCACTAGTTGAAAAGTTGACAATTTTGTATCTTTTAATTGTTACCACAATTAATAATTACTACAGACTCTATGTAAGTAGAGTAAAATTAGTACTAAGATTTATCTTTATGTTTTAAGTTACTTCTTAAATCACAAACTACATTTTGGTGATCAAATGCCTATCTCCAGCTGTCATACTGCTTTTTAATTCCAGATTTACGGTTCATTCTGCACAAATTAGCTGTGTGACTATGGGCAAGTTATTCAACCTCTAGGTTTCAGTTTTCTCATTTGTAAAAGAAGAACAGTGATGCCTAACCCCCTGGCTTTTGAACATTAAATGAGTTAATAGAAGTAAAGTACTTAGAAAAATTATGATATATAATAAGCATTCAATAATATTATTACTATTATTTTTACTAGTTATTTTTGAACTATTTGTTATCTTCACAAAATGTCCTATAATCCAATATTTCCCAAAACAGTGTAACTTTATGACTGTCCAAAACATCTTGCTGTATTTCTTTTCTAGAATTAATGTACTGGAATTATCCGAAACTTTTCCCAGGGGATCCACTTATTCGTTAGGAATCTTGATACCAAAATAGCGCATTCCTCCATCTCTCTTACCATCCAAAATATCTTCACACTTCTGGCTCTGAAACAATAGTGACTTCTCTCACTAGATGGTTAATTATCTTGGGGACAGGGATTGTATTTTTTTCCAAAAGTTTATCAAGTTCCTTTACTCTTGGCATTTACGTATCCCTGGCATCTCGGAAAGTTTCTTTTCTACATTAGGCACTCAGTGAGTGCATCCTGAATGTGTGTATTCCATATATACACATATTACTCTCTTTTTATCTTCTTACAGCTTTGGCTTGACCATAACATTTAAAAAGTGTATAAAGATCATCATTCTAATCAGGAAATCACTTATGCAGGCAGACCTATCATCTGATTAATTTTCATTGCAGATGAGATTGTGAGAAATCTGTAACTGTAGTAGGATAGATACAACTCTTTTATAAAGATACACTTTAAAAGCCATGACATTTTTAATTGTATTTGTCTGATAACTGTAAATTCACATAGAAACAAAAAAAATTGATTTGCACAAAACTTATCATTTTATAATGGAAAAAAAATAAAAACAGTCTAAATAATGAACTATAGTTTTGAAATCTCAATGAACTATCATAAAGCTATTAAAATGATTACAGCAATAGAAATATATTCTATTTTTTAAAAATTATGATGGAATTAGAACTACATAAAAAGTATGTATTTTCATGAACACTAAAAAATGGAGTTGTATTTTTGAATGATTTCTGATACTGAAATAAATGCTTTGTAAAAAGTTATTTCAATCAGTCAATGTATTGCACAGCAAAACAATTATGAGGTAAGATTTCAGTAACACATTTCAAAATGTCAAATACCTTTGGGTAAACTTCAAATATGGTGTATAGTCAATTACAGCAGGAAAGTTGCCATCCAATCCCTCACCCTTTAGGCAGAAGCTAAGACAACAGACAATAAATATTTCATATTAATATGAAGTTTTGAATCAAAGTGTTATAAACAATTTCTTGTTAGAGTTATATGTTTCATCAAATTGCAAGTGAGTTTTTTGTTTGTAATTTAAAAGTTACTTGTTACAAATAAACACCCCAATAGAGATATTCTGCCTTCAATACCAATAACAAAGGTTTGTATAAGTTAATAGATGGCTATATAAATAGAGTGTGCAAAAGAAAAACTCAGTAATATGTTCAAACATTGTTAATTTATTTGACACTATCTTGGTCTTTATTGGACTTATAAGACATTACTAGAACATTTTCAAATTAAGACTTATTGTTCATATTTATATGTAATTTACATATAAATTCTCAGGTGACACTATCTCCTTAAAAGATCTAATTAGAAAATGAAGGTTTCTAAACTATCTGAATAAGTGAAAAGGCTGGGAGCCTAGATATAGAAAGAATGCTAAAAATCTCCTAATCTTCAATCAATCCTTTTTGAGGCCATACAATAGGAAAAGGTTGTGACTTGCCTAGAGTCATACTGTGGATCTTATAAAGCCAGCAAAGAAACTTTAGATCTCCTGGACTTCCAAATCCAGTAATTTTTGTTTTGTATGATGGTATATCCAGTTGGATAGTTATAGTTAAAAAAACAAAAACAGGTTTAGTTTTATGATTACTAGTATTCAAAAAAAAGTACATCTTCTACAAAGATAAACATAGGAACATTTGAGTTGTACAATGATTTTCAAAGGAAAAAATATCAGCTAACTCCCACCTTATGGTTTCTTTGGTGGGAAGTTTGCCTGTTGAAATAGTTTTTCTAATATATTAGTATCAAGGGTATGTAAGTATTATTTCATACTTGAATAAAGACAGAGCCAAATCAAACTTTTCATGTAGGCTTTTCTTCATTTACAGGAAGATCGCTAATGTATCTCTAAGACATTTACCTTCAGATGATTATATAGTATCAATGAAGTACAATAATTCAACAGTTTGAATTCTTATGTCAGGCATTTTTTTTTCACCAAAAATAAAATTGTATTTAGACAGAGCCAGCAGCATGCCATGTAAAGTACTTAGAGGAATTAAAAAGACAAACTTCCTATTGCATCTATCATGCTCACTCTAAACAATTAAGCTAATTAATCTAATACTATTTTATTAAATCTTAAATAGAGGAAAGTTATAAAGTGACAAATATTATGAAAGGAAATGATTTAATGCATAAAAGGTAACATCAATAAAAATGGGCAGCATTTTTTTATTTAAGACCTAAAGGTAGGTTCTCAAGTTTTATATTTATTTTGTTAGTATTCTTGGAATTTTAAGTGACATTACTTAAGAAAATATATTTCCTTCATTCTAATGTTTGAGTTCTTGTTATACAATTATCTTTTACTTTTAGTATAATGTAAAATCTTGGATCAATTTAAGAAATACAAGTGCTTTCATAAATCTAAGAAGAACTTACACTGTCTGCTTTTAGCACTGTAAATCTGTCTGGAATTAATTCATCTTGGTAATAAAAGCAAATATTAACAATATTTTTTATATTCTAGTTGTATAATAATAAAACATATAAGACACCCAGTGTCTTATGCCAGAATCTTATCTCGACAGAGGAGATTTAAAACATCTTTCTGGCTTTGAACTTTGAGTGTGTTTCTTTTCATTTTAAAAGCAGTAGCTGAAAATTACTAGGAGATAAGATCTAAAACATCCCCTCAGTTCTATGAGAGCACACCATTTTTCTCCCTGGGGGAATGGAGTCTAAGCATTCTTTTTGCCCAAGCTAGGGAGCAAGTCTGTCAGTAAATTCCCTTAGTTTGCGACAGTGTGTTTTCTGAGAGCAAACCCATTTAGAAAACGAACAGAATTTGAAAGGGAAAATATGGATCAAATGTCAATATTTAGCTGCGTGCCTTACTTAGAAAGCAAGGAATAAAATCATAAGTAGAAACTATTACGTGGTTAAAATTTTAAAATGACATGCATTTAGATTAAGTACCTGAAATCAATAGCATTGAGTCCAAGCAGCATGCCAGCAAGCATATTTGCTTCCTCACCCAAGACAATTGCTCCATCTTCATAAAATCGCCTAAAAAGTGAAAAGGAGTGAATCTATAAATATTTTAAAAACTGAACTTTAGAGAAATCACTCAGACTCAAACTGAAGTAGAAAGAATTAAATTTTATTTATCAAAATAAAAACATCCATGGATCACCCAAGACATGTAGATATACAGAAGAAAAAAAAAACTGCCACCTAACAAAAAAGTCCGTCTAAGTGTCTCCACCACTCTTAAAAAAATCTCCAAAGTCATTCTTTCAATGGGCCTACACTGGCTTTCATTTTCCCAATAGGGAAGTAATATAAATGTAATTTGAAAGGTGACAAATTCACAGTCATTTACACTGGTCTGTTTTCAAAACTATGCAAACTTCTATACATTGTTATTCTGTAATTCCAAGGGTTATTAATCAAATTAAGAACTAGAATGGTCTGATTATTACTAATTTATGCCAGCCTTTAACACTGCAATACTAAGAGGGCAGATGGGTTACCAAGGTGGCCGCATATGAAAAAGAAAGTATTTATTAGCTCTTTAAGAAAATGTGAATATGAATCTATCTTTGCTAATTCCTGTAAAGCCTTCTGTTTTGGTTAATGTCAGTTTTTAAAATACTGAAACTTTATTTCTAAATATTCTAAATAGATATTTAAAAAAATTATCATAATATGGGCCTAAGATATTTTTCCACAAAAGAATGGAAGATCATTGAATTTGCTTCTTTTCAAAAATAATACTATGCAAAAACTAGTTTATATTCAGTAACTAGGAATCACTGAATTGTTAAATGTATTTATATTACCAGAACACCAATCTAACACCCAACTACCTAAAAGGGAAACATTTTAGTAAATGAAATTTGTCTTGTTCTTTTCAGTATTCATGAGTTTATAAAGGCTGACAAGATTTTAATATGCTCATAATTCCACTATTAATTTTGAATAGTTCATAGCTTACTAAATACTTCTAAAAATGTATCATTTGGTATATGTAAAAAAGTTCATAAAGTAAATATGGAAGGAATTGTCATTAGTTTCAAATTTACCATCAAGAAAAATGCTAGGGTAAAATAATTTGCCCAAGCTCATGCAGATGTTCAAAGAGGAAACCCAATTCTTCTTTACATTCTATGTATTTTCTATGAAACCATACCACTTCTTGTAAAACAAAAATATTTAAAGAGAATTTAACTTATGGTTCATAAAGAATTTAAAATAAAAAAAAAGTACAAGGAAAATAAGAGAAACTTCTCTGACAGATGTAAGGCTGCAAACAAATACAGTGGGAAGACTAGTTTGGAATAGATGTACTCTGTTTCCTTGGATATATGGAAATTATCTTTATTGATTTATATAAAAGAAGAAAAACTAAATGTCCAGCCTAACAAATATAGTAAAATAAATGGAAGGACTTTCTACATATTTAATTGAGGTGTTCCATGAAAAGGTAAAGCTATTTAGACAATCTTTATATCTGAGATTTTGTCCCTACCCCAATGGCTAAGTTGGCTGTTGACAGAACATTTTATCGACTGCTGGAAGAATTATAATTCCAATAGTCCTAGACCACCAAATTCTACAGGACAAATGCATTAGAAAGAACTCTTTTTTTTTTGATACTGGGTATCACTCTTATTCCTAGTATTCCCCTATGTTAAGAAAAGGTCTACTTTTTAATTACCCATCTTGAGTCTACCATGTTTAAAAGTACATTCTAAGAGATCAAAACTATTCTTGCTTGCTCTCTTAATGTCAATATTACATTAGTGATTGCTGATGAATCAGAAAATGAAAACAAAACTAGCTAGTTTTAGAGATTTTTTAAGTATAAAAATCTCCTGTATTTGTATATATAATATTATTTTGATAAGTTATTTTGTCTTTAGTATTACTAGTGAATTTTTAGCTAACCAATATAAGTGAAATGCTTGCTATATATGAAATCAATAATTCTACTCATAAAGCATACTGTTGCATGGACCTGATTTAAATTTAACAGTCTTTACTGCAGCACAGGGGAGGAGACGATAAATGGGAGACAAAAGGCTAGTTAAGAGAATTGTACACTGTATGCTAAACATTTTCATTATTAGTTTTGATTAAGAAAAGTATTTTTCATAAAATATGTTTGAGATAACACATTTTAAAATAACTTAATTCAGTATGTAAAAGAATACTGAACTAAAGTGATCTGATTTGAAAAAGATATTTTTCTCATTTGATCAAAGACTTAAGTCATTCATGTACATTAAAGAGGTGAAAGCTGTTAGGAAAAATTAATTCTTTATTCTCTTAAACCAACATACCAACAATTTTGACTGAAAATTTGATTCCTGTTATGACACTTTCAAAGACTTCAAAAGATCACAAGCTTTCAACCTCTTCATTTTGCCTCAGAAAAATTGGAACATTAATAAAGTCTGCTTATGTAACCAAGGGTTTTGTAACAAATGAACCAAGGATAAAGCCTAAGATGATTAATCCAATAATAGTAAGATATAATACACTAAAAAAATTCTTTTTTGAAAATATTTTTTGTTCTAAGGAAAATATTTTTGAGAACGATCTAACCAAAGCAGTGTACTGAATTGCAAAAATGTCTTACAAATATTTAAAGTACCAAGGTAAAAAAATATATAAAACTTCCATCTAAATATTTGTATATTAGATCATATGTTTAAATAAGCTTTGTACCTCAGAAGCAAAGGAAAAGTATGAGCAATTATTTGATGTTACAGTGATCTGGAAGAAAAGCCTCTACTTTTTATTAGGTGTACTCTTTCCAATTATTTGTATGTTGACTAGAAAAATATGAGAAACTAGAAAAGCTCTTAAAATAATACCTACTAAGAACAATATTTTTTCTCTTATCATATATAAACTTAACTCTAATTGAAAGAGTCTCTATACTGCTATCCTTAATGTTCATTATCTAAGACTATTTTAAGGCCCTTCAAGTATTTCAATAATAAATATCCTTTGGATGGTATCCTAGATGAACAACCAGTATAGATCATGTTGATACTGCAAGATATCATGTTTCAAAATTTCTTTTTTTTGAGAGTTGAACGTTATTCTACAGACTGAGGGTGCAATATTAAAATATGAGAGTGTGTTATAAACCAAAGAAATTTCATTATCAATATTATTGATCTCTTCCCCAATTTAGTCTTCATATATGAAACTTTAAAGGAGGTGATAAGAAAATTCTCCCTCATGACATGCAAAACAGATTATAACATTATAAAGAAATGTTATATTCTATTCAAAGTAAAACTGAATCAGAATGAACAGCTGATCAAAAAGTTTTTATTCTCTTAAACCAACATACCAACAATTTTGACTGAAAATTTGATTCCTGTTATGACACTTTCAAAGACTTCAAAAGATCACAAGCTTTCAACCTCTTCATTTTGCCTCAGAAAAATTGGAACATTAATAAAGTCTGCTTATGTAACCAAGGGTTTTGTAACAAATGAACCAAGGATAAAGCCTAAGATGATTAATCCAATAATAGTAAGATATAATACACTAAAAAAATTCTTTTTTGAAAATATTTTTTGTTCTAAGGAAAATATTTTTGAGAACGATCTAACCAAAGCAGTGTACTGAATTGCAAAAATGTCTTACAAATATTTAAAGTACCAAGGTAAAAAAATATATAAAACTTCCATCTAAATATTTGTATATTAGATCATATGTTTAAATAAGCTTTGTACCTCAGAAGCAAAGGAAAAGTATGAGCAATTATTTGATGTTACAGTGATCTGGAAGAAAAGCCTCTACTTTTTATTAGGTGTACTCTTTCCAATTATTTGTATGTTGACTAGAAAAATATGAGAAACTAGAAAAGCTCTTAAAATAATACCTACTAAGAACAATATTTTTTCTCTTATCATATATAAACTTAACTCTAATTGAAAGAGTCTCTATACTGCTATCCTTAATGTTCATTATCTAAGACTATTTTAAGGCCCTTCAAGTATTTCAATAATAAATATCCTTTGGATGGTATCCTAGATGAACAACCAGTATAGATCATGTTGATACTGCAAGATATCATGTTTCAAAATTTCTTTTTTTTGAGAGTTGAACGTTATTCTACAGACTGAGGGTGCAATATTAAAATATGAGAGTGTGTTATAAACCAAAGAAATTTCATTATCAATATTATTGATCTCTTCCCCAATTTAGTCTTCATATATGAAACTTTAAAGGAGGTGATAAGAAAATTCTCCCTCATGACATGCAAAACAGATTATAACATTATAAAGAAATGTTATATTCTATTCAAAGTAAAACTGAATCAGAATGAACAGCTGATCAAAAAGTAAATCTCCAAAGGTTTTGCTAAGAATGTGAGATTCACTAATTATTTTATCAAAAAATATGTAATTCCCACTAGGAATCTGGTACCTGTGCTAGGTACTAGAGTTAAAATGGTGAACAAGCTAAACATGTTCCCTCTCTATGGAGCTTTGTCTAGGGGAAGGGACAGGTTACAAAGGAAAAAGATAATTAGAGATGATGCTAAGTAGGATAAGGTAAATAGGTTGAGGTAGAGAAAACAACTTTGAAAAAAGCCACTAAAGAAAGGCATTCCCAAATGTTTAACCTGAGACTGTAGTCCCACAGAAGTCTGGTCACACAGGGCTTTGTAGGCCATATTACATTAATAATAACTGTGAACAACTTATTAAATGCCAGTCATAATTATATGTGCCAATAGGGAAGTTGAGGTAAGAGATAAAGGAGGTATGCATTACTGAGCAGTCCTTGAGATAAAGGTAAATGGATAAATTGAAGATAGATTTTAGATACAGGATCTATAAGACTTGTTAATGGGATGATTATAAAGAATGAAGGAGAAAAAGGAATCAAAGATTAATTTTAGATTCTGACTTATCAACCATGTAGGTAGGTTATGAAACCACTTGCTAAGAAGGGAATAGAAAGTCTTAGAGGGGGGTAAAATCAAGATATCTGAGTTATCTTGCTAAAGATTTAAATGTGGTATCATAATCATACAGGTAGTATTTAAAGCCATTGGGAGATACATAAAATTTTAGGGAGAAAGGAAAATGAATAGAGAAAGAACAGACAGTGCTGTACTGAGCCCAAGAATATTGATAATTTGAATCTATAAAGAGGAGAAGCCAGTAAATGATACTCAGAAGAGCAATTATAGAGATAACTTAAAGGCAAAGAAGTTTTTCAAGAAAGAGGATGTATTCTGCTGTTTTCGCCAGACAATGAATGGAATACAATGTAGACTCAGAAATGCCCATTAAATTTGGTAGCTTCTAGATTGTTGGTATTTTAAAAATTATTCTTGGTGGAGTGGTAAGGGGCAGAAGCTGGACAAGAGTGGACAGAACAGTGACTCTAAGGTAAGGAAATTAGGACAGTATGTATAAACATTTTGAGAAGTTTGGTGATGAAGCAGAACATAAAAATGAGCAGTAGAAGGAAATATAAGTTCATTGGAAAAGCTTTCTTTTTAAGTTAGGAGATACCAGTATGTGTTTCTATATTGGTTAGAATAACTCAGCAGAGGGAAAGACTGAGGATGAGGAAAGAGAAAGTTAATAACTAAAAGAAGAAGTGAATGGGAACAGGATCCAGAAGAAGGTGGCCTCTGATGGGAGGAGAGACATTAATCAGTAATAATAATATCAGTAATATAAAGTATACCAGTAATAGTTGTAATGATGGAGGGCAGAGACAAGAGACAAGCATCATGATTAGTTTTCCTAAAAATGCTGAGATATAAATAGCATAGTAAAAGCAAGAGGGACTCCACCTTAAGTTCAAGATTCCATTCTAAAAGCAGAGAGTTAAGAAGTAAGATTCCTAACCTATTCTTTAGTAATCAGCCAACAACCTACTTTAAAGGCAGAGCAAGTAGGCCAAAACTATAAGTCCCCACTGCTTGAGGGTAACCACTGTCTTGGAGAAGAAGAGGATCAATGAGTCCCTTGTGTTAAGTTTATTTAGCATAATTAGCTGGAGGACTGGTAATGGAGGAGAGGAGACAAGGTGTCTCTCACCAGAGATAAGCATCTTGAAATCATAAACCAAGCCTACGACCAACAACCCTCCCCACCCCCTCACCCTTTGCTCCATTCTTGGAAGCCTTAAAAGACAGAAACCCCAGCCTTTCAGCACACCTCCTCTCTGAGGATGCCTGCACTTTTATTTAAGTGCATACGTTCAAAAAAGCTTTCTCACTGCTCAAATTATTGCATTTTGTTTCTTTGCTATTTAATTTTATTCCCAAGTCTTCACTCTGTCTCTGCTTTACTCCTGGTAAGTAGGAAGGGGCTGTTGAGAGCTCAGGTTTGGGCTTGCAAGTGTCTGTCTCCTGAGTGACCTGGACGGAACTGCAGCTGTGTGATTTGCTCTTAGTAGTCTGCCTGAAAATCTCCTTTGGTAAGTACTCAGAACATAATCTCACCTGATCCTATGTTCTACAGCTTTCCCAAATCCTGGGATGGTAGGGGCTAGTCCCCAGGCCATGCAGATCCAAGAAGACATAGGATGCCAGGTAACCCTGGCTTCAGGAGTTGGCAAAGGAGTCTGCCCTAAGTGGAGTAGGAGTTTAATGAACTTTCCCTCCTTCCCTCTGCACCTCCTTGCTCTCTGCTGCCTGCAAGGCAGCTGCCATTCCCTACCACTCTCACTTTAATGAATTCCTTCCTTATCTGCCCCCATCAGATCTGTTCAAGAACTCTTTCTCATCCAGAGTCAAGAATCCTCTCCTGTCCAGGTTGAGGTTTCTCCTAGTGCTTCACCTAGTGCGCAGGGAATGACCTCCCCAGATGCAGCTGCCCAGCAACAGTACCATTACTCAGAACTTTAATAACTTAACTATTCCAGAGATTCTCTTACATTTTAAGATTTTATGCTTTCTCTGTGCAATAGAACTCACTTTTCTTCAGTTATAAAAACCTGTATTATTTTCTTACCCCATGTGTAAGTTCAATGAGCCTTGAAAGTTTTTTAAACAGCTTTATTGAAATATAGTTCATATACCATAGAACTCACCATTTAAAGTACAATTCAACAGTTTTTAGTATAGTGATATTGTTATTACCACAAAAAGATACTGAGTGGCAGTCACCCTCCATTTCCCTCCAAAACATCTTTTCCCATCCAACTCTACCTACACAACCATTGATCTGCTTCCTGTCTATATAAATATGTGTATTCTGAGTATTTCATAAAAATTAAATTGTATACTGTCTGGTATTTTGTGACTGGCTCTTGGACAGTAGAATGTTTTTAAAGTTCATCCATGTTGTAGCATATTTCAGTACTTCTTTAAAAAAAAGAAACGAAGTTTATTTAAACAACAAGATGTTTTACTTAAAAGGAAAAGTATTTAGGATTCATTTTTTACAACAATTCATCCCTACTTAAAAACAGATCACCCTACATGTAACAGCTACACACAAAAAAGTTGTTAAAGTGTCCTTGGTTTTACAATAATACATGAAAAAGATTAAAATTCTTCAAACAAGGTATGCAGGGATTTTTCTGTTCTTTTTTTGTTTAAAGATGAAAAAATAATTTACTAGACTATGAAGAGGTGCAAGAGCATGAGCATAAAGAAAGGGGGTCTTTTCACAGAACCAGTATTTTTCCCCATCCCATCTCCCTTTGATGTCGATCAAAACACACCATTGGTCATTTAGTTAAAAAAAAAAATGTTTATGCACATACACCAATTCCTGATAAAGGAATTTGGAAGGGGAAAGATGAAAGAAAAACTGTACTGTAGTAGTCAGCATGTGGTAAAACCAAACTGGTTTTTCTGAGAATGTATTCTTGGTCTGTCAGAGCAGGGTTCTGGAGTGAAGTAGCAGGTACCCTTTCTAACAGACACCTTCTGTCTTCTGCAGGAACACATCACAATTATATCTTCATCCTCCATTTCCAACAGTGTGCATATGTCTGTTTCACTGACAGGCTGCCTTTCAAAAGGGAATCTAAACCTTGTCATTCACAACAGGCTTTCATTAGTTTACTAAGTGATATATGTTTCTTATTTTACACTGCAGCAGAGAACCATCCTGCCTTGCCACTTTCAAATTAATATGATCATTGTTCTCAGTCTTGAATCCTCCCTTGAGCTTTCTGTCAGCCACAGTGAGCTCCTGAGTATCCTCAGCTGCCACTTCACAATAGCAGTACCAGGCTCGCACTGAACAAGCACCCAAGCCGTTATCAGGAGTGACAAAAGCAGTGATGCATTACTTTTATGGCTGATAACATTCCACTGTATGGAATATACATTTTGTTTATTTGTTCATCAGCTGATGGGCATTTGGGTTGTTTCCACTTTTTGGCCATTATGAATACTGATGCTCTGAACATCTGTGTACATATTTTTTGTGAATGTATGTTTTCAATTCTCCTGGATATGTAAGTATATATGTATGTGTGTATGTGTGTGCACATACACATACACACATACATAAATGCTGGGTCAAATGGTAACTCTATATTTAACCTTTTTCAAAAAGACTGCATCATTTTATTTTCCCATTATCAATGTATGAGAGTTCCAATTTTCCCACATTCTTGTCAATACTTGTGATTATATGTTCTTTAATTGTAGACATTCTAGTGGGTGTGCAGTGGTTTCTTACTGTGGTTTTGATTTGCAATTCCCTATGGCTAATGATGTTAAGCATCTTTCATGGGTTTATTGGTCATTTGTATATCTTCTTTGGAAGAATGTTTACTTAGATTCTTTGCCCATTTTTAAATGCTTTTCTTTTCTTTTTCTTTTTAAATTTTATCAGATGTACATTACAGTGCTCCAACAGTCCCTCTCTCCCCCACACCTGCCCACATACCTCCCCCTTGGTAACCAGTAGCCACTTCTCAGTGTCTATGAGTCTACTGGTGTTTTGTTCCTTCTGTTTGCTTTGTTTGTATATTCCACAAATAAATGAAATCATAGGGTATTTGTCTTTTGCTACCCAGCTTATTTCACTGGGCATAATACCCTTTAGATCCACCCATGTTGTTGCAAATGGCAGAGAGTTCTTTTCTTTTTATGACTGAATAATATTCCATTGTGTGTATGTACATTTTCTTTATCCATTCATCTACTAATGGACACTTTGGTTGCTTCCGTATCTTGGCTATTGCAAACAATGCAGCGATAAACATATGGGTGCATATGTCTTTTTGAATCAGGGATTTTGTTTTCTTCAGGCATAAATGATTTCTTTTTATTACTGATTTGTAAGAACTATTTTAATGTATTCTAGATAAAAGTTCCTCATTAGATATATGCTTTACATAATTTTTCTCCCATTCTGTGGGTCTTCTCTTTACATTCTTGATGATGTTCTTCTAAGAATAAAGTTTTTAATTTGGATTAAGTTAAATTATCTAACTTTATTTTGTAGCTTGCACATTTAGTATCAAATCTAGGAAATTATTGATTAATCCAATGTCATGAAAGTTTATGTTTATAGTTTCTTCTAAGAGTTTCACATTTAAGTCTGATTCATTTTGAGTTAATTTTTGTATATGCTGTGAAGTAGTAGTCCACAAGCACCTTTTATAAATTTTTTTTTCACCTTAATAGTATGGAACTTTTAAACAGATTCAGATTCCAAAAGTCTTTCTTAGCTTTTGAAAGATTTGGTAATTCATCACAACTCTATCTTTCTATAACTGAGAAAAGTGTTTATCAATTTTTTTTCACTTTGTGACAGCTCAGTAGTTTCTGAAGTGCTACTTCTTTTCCTCCTACTATGGTATTGAGAAAGTTAACATGTCTTCTGAACACAACTTTTGTTGTTATAAATTTAGTAGTGTGGTGTACTTAAGTTCTAATGTCTTCATACAGCTAATTTTATCTCTGTATTTTCTGTATTTGTTACTTCAAATTCAAATTTTCTATCTTATTTCAAATGTCTTATTTATATTTTTAGATGAATTTTTCTAATTATTTTCAGTCTGTGGGTAAGGAGAAATAAAAACTTTGAACAAATTAATTCAGTTTCTACCTTACTTCTCCATTTGTAGGTCTTCCCAGTAACCTATTAAAACAATTCTTTGTTTTTTTTAAAACTTGGATTCTACTGACTCTACCAACCTCCCAGCTCTGGCTATTTCCCAGTATAACACTGCAATCCCTAAACAATGAAACTCTTACAGGGTTTTTTCCTCAATAGCTCACCTTGGCAAAAAGATCACATGAATTCTCTAATACTTTTCTAGTACCCCTAGAAGAAGATTTATTGTATTTCTGTTCCCCCTACTTTCTCCACCTAATCTTATCCTTGGATTTTCCCTGATTAGTATGTTCACATTTGCCTGTCTTAAGTCATGTAGCTCCTCCTTCTGTACTGGGGTAAACACTTATACCACCATTTTAAAAGACAGTCATTACTCTTTGTGAAGAGTGGAACAAGAAGAAATCACTTGATTCAGATACTCTCAAGACTCCTAAAGGATTAAAGATCATTTCTCATTGTTCTACAACTTCTTTTATCAGGGAGCATCCAGACAAAAGGTAAGGTACAACCATTCTTTGTAGCAGTTTGCTTTTATTTTACAAACCTAATCTTCCAAATACATTTGGCTAGAGGTTTGCAATCAAATTGACTTAGAATTAAGAAATTGCTTTAGTTTGATTTCAGTTAAAAATAAATCATTGTGTACATAGTTAAAAAAGAAAAACTTGTTTGTCTTTTTGCAACTGCATTTTTTAGTTAACTTCTAAGATGAGAATTCTGAAATAAGTCATTTACTTCTTTTTTTGGGAATTACAGTCATTATATTCATATTTAAATACTATCTGTATGTGTGTGTATATACATAAACATTATATATTCATGTGTTTATAAACATAAAACATATACTAAGCCTTGTTTCTGTTTAAATAATCTATGTTCATATATTGTTACAAGAATATTTTTACTTGATGGACTTTTTTAGAGCTGAATCATTTCCTTTTATCAGATACGACGGCTAACACCTAAGAACAAAGCAAAAAGCATTTCCCTTTAAAAACTTAAACTTCTCGTTCTAAAAATAACCTATTCAAGAATTATTTCTACCGCACCCAACTGTGTAAACCAAGAAACAAGACTGACATTTAGATTATACTTTAGTTTCTATTTAGAAAAGAGTATCATATCTTTAATGCAATCTTGTTACTGCATAGATCATTATAATGTAAATTTGATTTTGAGTTAATTAATTTAGGATATTTAGGTTTGAGCTATAAGACTGATACTATTTTTTATTTTCAAAGCCTTGGTATTATCCTCAATATTTAGTATCTTTCATAATTAAACCTATTTATTAGTGATGATAAAGAAACAAGTGTTTTATTTCATAAGATTCATTTCCAATGTCTAAAGTTTATCATCATCTTCGTGTGAATCTTTAGAAATCTTACAAAAGAATCACATTACTTTAAAAGAATTTAATAAGTATATATTAGATTTACTTTATGCAAACACTTCTTTAAAAGTTAAAAGTCTTTCTATCCTGGATGGATTTATAATCATGACAATTACAGATACATGACTGATAAGACAGAAATAAGTCTGGAAATTTAGAAGTGTCTAAAGCAGCATAGTTTAATAAAACATTCTATGATGAAGCAATGTTCTATAACTGTGCTGTCCAGTTTACTAGACCATTAGCCATACATAGCTATTAAACACCTGAAATATGATACAGCAACTGAAAAACTGAACTAGTAATTTTATTTAATCTTAATTAACTTTAATTTACATAGTGGCATGTGGTTAGTGGTACTGTATTGAATAGTACACATCTAAGGTATTGAAATTATTGAATATTTTCATTTACAAATACTTTTGAAATGGAAAAAAAGTAGTTTCTTTAACAAATGCTGTAAGTATAGATTAGTAGATTAGAGCTAAATAGGAATGCCTGCTCTCTTAATATGAATTTTTTTCTATCATGAAAAATTAATAGCCCTAATTTTCACATGGTAGTGTATCATCTCTTAAATGTACACAACACAAGAAAAACAACATTGGTACAGAACAGTCTCAAAATACAATCAAGCAATTATTAATTTTATATTTGAATTAAAGAAGTAAATGACTCATTTATATTCTTTATAAGCAAAGATATATAAATAAATGTAATGTGGAAAGAGAAAGAATGCATAGGAATTTCATAGATTTTTTCTTTCAAATTGATCTGGGAAATGTCATAGACAGAATGAAACTTCAAGAGTTAACAAGAGTGAAAAACAGAACCGATTCAGAAAAATGATATGTCAGGCATAATGTGAAGCACGAAAAGTTAAACCAAGGTAGATGTATATGTTTAGTTGACAAACTGCATTTTCCTAAGAAGACACTGGATTTATCTGAGCAGTATGATAAGGAGGAAATAAAATAGTTGATTACTTTAGAAACAAATGAGTCTTCCTTCTAATTGCCAAGTCTTTAGGTGACTTTTCAAAATATATATTTGAAAAAATTAAAAGGACATTTAAACCTGGTTGTTTTGAAGTCTCTCAGAGCTGTAGAGATGTATTCAGATAAATGTTTTTCCATGAGTGCTACTCTGATCCAGGCTCTACCCTAAAAGGAAGAAGAAACAAACATAAAAAAAATTTGAAGTTAATATTTTTCCCACTGTATCATCAAGAACATTAGCATTTAATATATAAAGAGCCCATTCAAAATGTACATTTGATAAACACTAAGAAAAATAAGTAGATAAAAAAGGTAAATTTTGTTTATATACATATGGTATATATTTTGTTTCTCTGAAGGGTACACAGAATGTCATATTAATTTTCTATCCGATGAAAAGACAGAACCATTAGTACTGAGTTACTTGGGTTAGACACTTTTTTTGAATCACATAATGTAATCAGAAGATATAACTCGCTATTTCAATGACCAAAATAACATGCTAATTAAAATGAGTTCTCTTATAAAACATTTTGGAAGAGTCCATTCTAGTTAATACAAATAATAATTCTTTATCACTTGTTTAAGAAAATTTCCCACCTACTATTTCAAAGGGCGGTTTTAGACAACTAATAAAGAACCAAATTTCATTATATATCATGCACCAAAATCATGACATTAAATTTGGTGATCCCCAGAGCTAACTATTAATAAATATATATATACCAGAAAAGACAAACAACAAAACCCCAGAAGCATATTCTAGCACAAAATCACCAAAACAAATAATTCTGATCAAATGTAACTTAATTTTATTTTTGAAAAGGAGTAACATGATTCAATAGTTGGAACTAACCAGTTAATTTTTTTATATTCTAAAGCATTTCCTCAGGACTCTGATGAAAAATCAAAGAATAGAAGGGATCATATTTTTAATAGTTTATTTTCATTCTAACTCAACCCATTCACTAATCCCCAGAAAATCCATGAAGACTGCATACAGAAAATCAAAAACTACAATGACAGTTGAGAATAAAGGTGACACTAATCAATATATATGATGGTCAATCACTCTTATGGAAAAAAAAAAATTTAGAAATTAACTGTGGTTAGTTAACATAAACTCTTGGATAGGAAGGATCAAAAAGGAGTCAGTCTAGTCATTGGTAAAACTTGCCAGTCTAGAGCAGCAGTGTTGTTGGAAATAAAGTAATGACAGACTATGGTTATGTTGATGGGTTTGGCCAAGCTCAAACCCTTTTAGTTTGCTCAGTGTTCAATCCTTTGTTCCTGCTGAGTGAGCCTAAGGGAACCTACAATTAGATGTGGCAGATTGGAACTGAGGGAGGAAGAGGCAAGCCATTGGCAAGCAGTCTCAAGATACTCTCTTTAAATTTCATCTAAAATACACAGACTCGTAGTGGTGGCTTGAATCAAAAGGCTTCAGTTTCACCAAAAAAGAAGCAGGGTAAGTTGTTCTCCAGAGAAAGACAGAGGAGACTGTGCTATTGCGAGATAAGAAATGTGGGGAAAGTCCTGCTTCCTGATTTATTAATTTTAATTCATACAAAACTGGGCTGCACCTAATTTTCTGTCCTTGGATGTTTACAGAATTCTCTGTTATACTGTGTTAATAAATTGTGTTAATTTTACGTTTTTTTGCTTTCAACAAAAGAACTTTTACTAGAACAGCAGATAAAAAGACTTATAAAAATTACTGGGGCCATGAAATCAGAAAGCCAAAAACTACTTTTAAGATTTTAGATTTTATCAGTTAGATAATGGTGAACTATGGAAAGTTTTTAGTTTTTCAGAGACAGAAACATTCATTTATTTGTTTGCCCCTGAAAGTTTTTGAAAAAAAAAATAAAGTAGTACTCAAGAATGTAATATATGCTTGGCTGTTTTAAGAGCTGATATACATTAAAATATTTAATCTCCAAGAATTGTGCATTAGGTTACAATACCATCCTTACTTTACTTATATGAGCAAACAAATCATAGACAAAACTAGAAGACAAGAAACTCACCACCAAATCGATCAACCTAATTGAATTAACACCCATACTCTATAGCTTCCCTCCTGTTTCAGGGGCTAAATTGCAATAAATTGCAAATCAAGAGAGTTGAAAAGACAAATCACAGAGTGGGCAAAAGTATCTGCATTATATGTATCTGACAAAATATGTTCAGAAAATACAAAGAATTCTTATAAAAGACAAGTCAATTGAAAAAATGGTCTGGAAGGGGGAGGTTTTTAATTATGGATTTAATTTCTTTAGCAGATAACAGAATATTGTTTTTTCCTTTCTGTGTTAGTTTTGTGGTATTTTTTGAAGAATTTGTCCATTTCATCTAAATTTTCAAAGGTGTAAAATTACTCATAATATCTTCTTTTAGGACTTTTAATGTCAGTAACGACTATGGGGTTGGCCTTTTCTTCATCCTTTATATTGGTAATTTATAATCTCTATTTCTTCTTGAATAGTCTTGCTAGAAGCTTATCAATTTAATTACTTTTTAAAAACACCAACTTTCAACTTTTTTGGCTTTTGCTGATTTTTCTTCTGGTGTACATTTGTTTCAGTTTAATTGTACCTCGTGATTTCTTCTACTATGGATTTTTTTACAGCTATTCTTTTATTTATTTTTATTAAGGTATCATTGGTATACAATCTTGTGAAAGTTTCACATGAGCAATATTGTAGTTACTACATTCACCTATATTATCAAGTTTTTACAGCTTCTTGAGATGAAAGTCCTCATAACTCATTTTCAGCCTTTACTCTTTTTCTTTCAATACACAAAAGACTATTGTTACACCTTGCCTATTTTCCTCTAAGAACAAATTTTTGTTTTATTTTCATTATCATTATTTTCCAAATATTTTTCAATCTCAATTGTAATTTCTTCTTTCATCTACGAGTGATTTAGATGTCCTTCTTGGTTCCAATTAATATAATCTTTTCCTAGTTATCTTTTAGATATTGATACAGGCTTAATTCTACTGTTAGATAACAAACTATATGATTTCAATCTGAAATTCATTGAAATGTATTATAACTTAGCAAATTTTGTATAAGCTTTCTGCTTGGTAAGAATGAATATTCTATAATTTTCTATTTTGATTTCTTGTATATTCCACTTTTCTAGTATTATTAATCTTTATATTTCTTAAACCTATTAAAATTACTTAAAAGTCCATCATCTGGATTTCCCACTGGTCTATTTCATTTACCCTTTTAATATTTCTTAGTTTTGACCATTTGATTTTTGTCTCCTGCTATGCCTGGTGATTTCTGATTAAATATTGCACATTATATATGAAAATCTATAGCAGCTTTAATACTACCTTTCTCTAGAGTACCTTTATTTTCCTTTTAGAAGGCAGGCAGTATACTTGAAAACTACCTTGCACCACCTAAGGGCAACACCTAATGGCCTTTTTGGACTGATCTTCATTTGAATTCCCTTACTCTCAAGATATAGTCTTTCTGAGGTCTCAAATAAAACCCCGGAGTGTTTACAGAGCCCCTCCGACTTCTTTGACCTTGAACTCTAATCTCTGTTTCTCCAGAACAAGAGTGTGAAATATTTTTTATTGTAGTATACTTGATAAACAATCTTATATTAGTTTCAAGTATACAACACAGTACACCAGTTGTTCACATTATTAAATCCTTACTAGTGCAGTTACTATCTATCAACATAGAAAGGTGTTACAGAACGATTGGCTATATTCTCCATGCTGTACTACTATGCCTGTGACCAACTTATATTATGATTGAGAATTTTTGTGCCCTTTCATCCCTCTCACCCTCCCCCATGATAACCAGTAGTTACTTCTCAGTATGTCTGTGTCTACAGCTATTTCATTCATTTTGCTTTTTGTTTTTAGATTCCAAAAGTAAGTGAAATCATATGACATTTCTTTTTTCTGCCTGGCTTATTTCATTTACCACAATACCCTCTAGGTCCATGCATGTTGTTGGAAATGGGAGGATTTTTTTCTATGTTGTATTAATATTCCATTGTGTATATGTAACACATCTTTATCCACTCATCTATTGATGGACATTTTGGTTGATTCCATATCTTGGCTAATGTAAATAATGAGGCAATAAATATAGGACTGCATATATCTTTTCAAATCAGGGATTTTGTTTTCTTTCAGTAAATTCCTAGAAATGGAATTGCTGGGTCAAATAGTATTTCTATTTTCAGTTTTTTGGTGAATCTCCATACTGCTTTCCAGAGGTTGGACCAATTTACATTCCCATCAACAGTGTAGGGCGTGTTCCTTTTTCTCAACATCCTCATCCAACACTAGTTCCAGTCATTTGAATAGTACCCATTCTGACTGGTAGGAAGTGATATATAATTGTAATTTTAATATACATTTTCCTGATAATTAGTGATGTGAAGCACCTTTTCTATTGCCTGTTGGGCAACTGTATGTCTTCTTTGCAAAAAAATGTCTATTCAGGTCCTCTGCCCATTTTCAAATTGGGTTGTTTTTTTGGTATTGTTTTATGAATTATTTACATATTTTGGATATTAGCCCCTTACCAGACATACCATTTGCAAAAATATTCTCCTGTACTGTAGGATGCCTTTTTGTTCTGTTGGATGGTGTCCTTTTGTGTACAGAAGCTTTTAGTTTGATGTAGTCCCACTTGTTCATTTTTAACTTTGTTCCCCTTGCCTGAGGAGATGTGTCCAGAAAAAAATTTCTCATGTTTATGTTCAAGAGATTTTTGCCTGTTTTCTTCTAAGAGTTTTAAGGTTTCATGTTTTACATTTAGGTCTATTAATCCATTTTTAGTTTACTTTTGTGTATGTAGTTATAGTAATCCACTTTCATTCTCTTGCATGTAGCTGTCTAGGTTTCCCAAAAGCAGTTACTAAAGAAACTGTTTTTCCCCACTGTATATTCATGGCTCCATTATTGTATATTAACTGACCATACATGCATTGGTTTATATCTGGGCTATTCTACTCCACTGACCTATGGGTCTGTTCTTGTGCCAGCACCATACTGTACTGATTATTGTAGCTTTGTAGTATAGCTTGAAGCCAGGGAGCATAATACCCCCAGCTTTGTTCTTGTTTTTCAGGACTGCTTTGGCTATTGAGGGTCTTTTGTGGTTCCATACAAATTTTAG